GCTGACATTTCCTCTAACAATATTGTTTTATATGTAAACTCATTTTTTATTTGGTATGGCTCCATTAAAGAACTCGTAATTCACAACAATACTTGTAATCCCACATATACCATACACCATTCACGAAAGAGGAGATTTAAGAAAATCCAAAATCTGTCCTTCTCTCCTTTTGTACTAACATAAAAAAATCCTTATATAAAAAGAGGTATGCTACTTGCACAAAAACTGCTCAAACATAGCTTTGAGGAAGAACGACTGAAATCGACACTACATGGGTAATACGGTCACCATCACGAATTGGTTAACCGAAACGATATGTGTGTGTCCAAACTCACAAGGGACATGTTTTTGCAGTCTTACATCTTTATATACCAGAATGGTCGTCTAATCTGTAATTTTACCGATTGGGTCTTATTCTCGATTGTGAAATTTTGCATTCAGTCTGGGTTTGCATGACGGATGATGCATGCATAGCAGGAGACGTTTACCCTGTCAACGAACCCGGTCTCGCTCCCTTATGAGTTCATGCTATTCCATCAGGTCGTGTTTTTTGTCTTCTTAATCAATTTATTGCCTTAATTCTGCATCGGATAACAATGGCCGAAGTTTACTGCGAGGAATAGGAAAAACCTCCACCAAAAGCCAAATCATCGCCAAAGGTTCCGCCTGCTCTGTGGGTTATGAAGGTCGCCAAAGGACCACAAAAGAGAGAAAGGAAGATTGTCATTACAAATTCAAGATATTAGAGAGAATTATTGAAAAAGGTCACGCTGAACATTCAACAGAAGACCTATCTTTTCGAAATAAATAAACTCATATCACAGATACCAAATATATAAAAGAAAGGTGAAAGATACCAAAGGGCATTCAAACTCATAAGTCGAAAATAAACTGACAACACCATGGCTAAAAAAGAAAATGACCAACAGACAAACAACAGTACACAAAACACAAAACACAACATAGAAAACTAAAGACTGAGCAACGCGAACCCTACCAAAAAAAAGGAGAATCAAATCATTTATTAGCATAGTATTTGAAATGATATAGGAATGGAAATAGAAATAGAAATAGATATATGTTCAAAGGCAAAATTAAACTATTTTAGTATTCAAAATCTAACTAAAATGTATGTGTTAATCGTGTCTAATAAACACGAAATTTTAGGATTGAAAAATCCAATTCAAATACAAATATTGATGAGTTCTAATATAGGGAAGAGCATCAAGAACAGATAGATTATTGGTAGCATGTTTTGATAAATACTAATACCAGAATGAAGCAATTACGCCAACGGCCAATGAACGTCTTACAGTCTGAATCGCCGAGTACAACTTTAGGTTGAATTTATAATGTCCCTCTGGGCATAGATAAACAGCACTTAAAAGAATTCTTTGAGAAACAATAAGTGACTCAAATACAAAAACTAACTATGTTTAAATTTGTAATGTAAGGGTATCAGCCAAAACACCTGGTCTATTAGGCAATACAGAAGAACTACCAAACAATTATGATAGGGCTCTATAGCTAAAAAACCAAAGCAGTGTTTGAAATGCTAAAGTTTGAACACAAACAAAATAATGCAGACAGTGAGTTAAATGTGTAAGGTGTTGGAAAGATAACATAGGGAAAAATGTGAAGAGAAGGCAGGATGTATCAGCTATAAAAGTGAGCATCCAGTAACTAGTAAGATTACTATAGAATTGATACTTTGTTGAGATTTTAATGCTCACAATAATTTATTGGGAAATAAGAAAAAAAATATACTAACGGCAGACAACTTAAAAACTTATTCAAGAAACAATATATATCGAAGGTTCTGGAACAAGACTGGATCCAAACAATTTAGGAACATCATGTTTAGATTTAACTTTCAGTAGTCCAAATATCGAACATAAAATGAACTGCAACGTAGTCAGTACACCAACATTGAACCTATGGAAGTAATCGTTAGTAATCGTTTCTGTATCTTTATTAATTCAAATATATGTATATGAGATAGCAATAGTGATTTCTCCCTTAAATGAAAATTTAATGAAGCAAATTGGAAAAGCTTCACACACAAAATAGAAAATTAACAGAAAACTTAATTACTGATGATATACAGCAAACAACCAATGCATAAAGAACCAAATTAGTCGATATAGCATGTACATATATCCCTACTATATTACTAATTGCTGCTATGATTAATATATTTACCACCGTAGATACAAGTATCTTGTCTTAGGGAAAAAGTAAAATAACAAAAATACCGAACTCCGAGGAAAATTCTAAACGGAAAGTCCCTAAGCAAATGGCAAAATCAAAAGCTCAAACACATCAAACGAAGGGAGTGATAAATCGTACTTTGTAAAAATCACTCTAACTGAAACAAAATATTTTCTGCAACTGACATTATAAAGATGCTTGATTTCTTGATTGACAACATATTTGTAAGTTTGGAGGACATGTTTTTCGAACAGTCGGCATCCCCATGGGAACCAACTGTGCTTCTAGGAAGAAGAAAAGAAACAAGCATTATCCTTTAACTTCACGTTCCGTTAAACAGATGATGTCCTTTCACTAGATGATTCGAAATTTAGTGTCTACTAGCATGTTGAACGCATCTATCCCATCGAACTTGGAATTAAGTATACAACAGACACAGTTAAGTCTGTCTCATATCTTGACTTAAATCAAAAGGTAGTCAATGATGATCCGTTGAGAAAAAACGTTACGACAAAAGAGATGATTTCAGATTCCCAATTGTGAACTTTCGATTCTTATTCAATCAAATCCTGCATATATGGTATATATCCAGTTGATACGATATTCCAGAATTTGCATTCCTATTTTAATTGCCTTGATAGAGGGTTGCTGCTTACAAAGAAGCTATTAAACCAAGAATTTCAAGTTGTGAAGTTGAAATCATTTCTTCGAAAATTTTATGGACGCTATCACGAGTTGGTTGACCGTTATGGAATATCTGTTTCACAGATGACGACGGATATGTTCCAATTGTCGTAACCACAATCCCGTCCTCTGTTCCTCGGATGTTACCTAACGAATTAGACTTATCACAGGGTTTTTACTTACATGATCAATACGACGGGTGCCATAAGTGGTGCAGGATTTGCCTACCCTTCCGAAACACAGACCACCCCATGTTTTTGTGGTGTTCGTGTTGCTGTCTGTAGTTTTTTTTTTGTGTACTGTTGTTTGTCTTTGATTCATTGTTCACTTTTTGCCATGGCAATGTCAGTTAGTTTTCGACTTGAGTTTGGTTATTATTTTGGTATCTTTCGCCTCTCTTCTACTAAGAATTTCAGAAAACCAACAAACCTCGAGTCCTGTCATGAACCAATGAATGCACACCACCCATAAATGCTAGAAACAAAGCTAGCACAGAGAAAGTCGTATGTGAAGTGGCATAGATTTTGAAAACTAATTAAGATAAAGAGAGAAACACACGAACGAGACCTAATGTTCAAATTATTGCAATCATATGAATTGTAATAGTAACATTTCAGATCTGTGGTATAATGTAAAGTAGATGTTAGGCAAGATCAGCTATAAGAGAAATATTCCTTTTTTGATACATTTGAATGATTTTATAACAGATAACAAAGAAGGAAAAAAGTCTTTTTCTTCCGAGTACGGGAAAAAAAGAGTATTTAATGAAATCTTTTATCAGTTGCAATTTGCCGAAATTTATGTTGTCTTCTAGTACGTCTGTCATATTTTGTTAAATTGTCCTTTGGAACTTCTACTAACTTCCAATTAATTTTATATAGCATTGTTAATCTAGCTTTTTTACTTCTATTATGTAAACTGTCCATTGTAAAGAATTTGTCATGTTGGAAACTGTACCCGGTGTTCTGTCTTTTTAATCATTATAGACAAATCGGGCTGCTTTATGCTGAATCTGCTCAACCTGAGTGATGTGGTGCTTTTTGTAAGGATCCAAAACAGGGGAAGAGTATTCAACGACTGGACGTACAAGTGATGTGTACGTGAGGTTTTTAACCTTACGTGTACATTTTTTTTAAGTTCTACGGAGAAAGCCTAAGGTATTATTTGCCTTACAGGTAATATTATTTATTTGTGTTCCCCAGTCAAGATCATGGTTTATGGTTACACCTAAATATTTACTGTTTTTAACAGATTCTAATACATGATTATATCAAACGTGCTTGCGGAAAATTATTTTAAAACTGGTACAGCATAAACGTAAAATTATTATTATAAGGCTAAAATAGAACAAGAACAAATTTATTATTTCATTGAATATTACAAAAATAATACAGATTGTTGTAATGAAGAATTTACATTGCAGGGGTTCAAAGGCGCAAAGGCAGATACAGATGATAGCTCACCAGAGAAAATAGAACAACTTATAGTTTGTTTCGTCATTTAACTGACAGAACGTTAAGAATATTTTTACTTTCATTAATATTATTTTGATGTTACACTACAACAAAACCGCGTGCGCTCAAAAATCTATCGTTGGGATACTGAAAAAAATAAATAAAACCATTCCTGGTAATTCCTATTAATGTTTACTTCAGACAACAAATAATTTCCCAAATCTGGATAAAACAAAAGGAGAGAAGATACTAAGGTGGCAATCAATAACCACAAGTTAAAGACTATCAGACAACATCTTTCCAAAAACTATGTTTTGAGAGTTCCCCTTAGGTAATCTGTGAACATTAAAGAGTGTTATATTGATGTGTACCCTTGTGGAACATCCGTTTTATGCTTGGTTCACATTAGCTTTAGATATAGATATGTCAGACCACTGGAGCGAACAAGGGCTATTCACACTTATTCTTTTTCATCTGAACGTGACTTTTTATATTTATATACTTCATATTACTCCTTATCTTAAAAGAAGCAGAAAATTTGTATTGTACTTATATTTTATATATTAGTCTGTGATAATTTTGTGAATATAAGAGCACACATTTATTTGAAGATTTTACTTTTATTAAAAAAAAAAAAGATTGTGTATAATATCTAAACACATTTCTAAGTAAGTACAATAAATGTACGCATGTCTTTAATATAAACCCCATCTAAATGTGTTTAGAATTGAAGTGTTTAGGGCTAAAACACTAATTTCTAAGCTAAACACGATACTAAACACAATATTCAACACTTTTTCAACCCAATTACATTGTCAACCTAATTATGTTTACAAATGAGACATATTTAGACTTAAACATGTTTTAAAAAAGTGCACAAAAATCTGTTTACAGTTGTGTTTAGGATCATAACACCATATTTACAGCGTACATTTGGACGTTTAATACTTATCAATCATTTTATTGAAGGACTAAAAGATCATTTTGCGGCCTTAACTTGATATATTGCCATGGAATTCAGCTGTTAAAGTTTGTTATCATGAGATAGTCCCTACAGATGGAAAAGCTAGAAATTTTTTAAATTCTTTAACAGCTATATTGATCGATTCACATTAGTGTTACGCACTGGTTATTTCAATGGCAAATACTGAGCAGAAATTAGTCCAAAACGATGATAGTAAAAGATGTAATACCGAAGAATTGTCAGGGAAAACAATTCTTATTATTGGAACTTCCGGGCCAGGTTTGCAGTTCCTGTGGAAAATTTTGAAGGATTTAAATATAAAGGTATGTTTAATGGAAAAATACTTCTGTATTGAAAAATATAACAGGAAAAAAAGAGGTGAAAGATACGAAGGGGACATTCAAAACTCATAAGTCGAACAAAAACCAACAACACCATGGCAACCCCTCCCCCCCAAAAAAAACACAAACACACCAACAAAGCATTACATTTCGATAGATCGAGCAACACGAAACCCACAAAAAACCGGGGATGAACTCAGGTGACAACTAATAAAGTACGATTTGAAATTTTCATATGTAAGTTTGCGCATACCCCACCAGTTAAATGTATGATTGGTAATATATCAGTGAATATATTGAAAATAATATCGAATAACTCTACCAAACTCATAGAGATTTGAGTTGCCTTGGAGAATCAAGTGGCCTAATCTGGATGTTTGTGTTGCCCAAACTTTCAGAGGTTTTCATTGTTTTTTTACAATATGTTTTAGGTAATTCTGTTTGACCCAAAAGAAGAGAACCATGGTCGTCGTTTTGTTGAAGTTTTTATCCAATACAACTATTTAGAGGATTCTATACACAGAGATGAAAATCATGCAAATACTATCATTCGACTTCTCGGTCACAGGAAGGAACAGCTATCGGCATGTATTTCTTTCGATGAAGATAGTATGCATTTAACTGCCATTTTAAGTCAGAAGTTAGGACTGATTGGTATTGATCCAGATGTTGCTCGTACATCGCAGAGCAAACAATTAACCTATGATGCGCTGAAAGACGATTTGGATACAAGTAAATATTCCCCGCTATCATTTCGAATTGAAAATGTATCAGATATCGTCAATACAAAAGGTCTTTTATTTCCAGCGATACTTAAACCAGAATATGGCAGCAATTCAGAGGGTATAACGGAAGTTACATCGACAGACGATTGTGCAAGTAAATATACCAAACTACAAGGTGCATTTGGAAAAGATTGGAACGTGAAGGGATTCGGCAGTGCAATGGTTCTAATGGAATACTTACCTGGCATAAGTCACCACATTGAAATTGTTGTATTTCACGGTGCTTTGCTTAAAGCACTCGTATCAGACATGGGTCCAAAATTACCAGGTGTATTTGCAGATACGACCACTTGTTTTCCGACTTGTTTATCGGACAAATTAAAGGGCGAAATAATTAATGCGTCTTTTGATTGCTGTAGGAAAATCGGATTGGATAATGGTGTTTACAATGTTGAGATGAAATTGACCAACACTGGCTTCAAGATGGTCGAAATAAACACCAGACCTGGTTCTTATAAAAGGTGTGCTGTTTTCAAAACCACGAATTCTATCGACCTACATGTGACCAATGTTTTAATCAAATGTGGAATCAAGCCAAAGTTACAAGAAGTGAATATGAATTATGCGGTTGGATGTTTTCTGTATTCATTTGCTCATCGTCGTCAATTGAGGAATCAAACAGTACAGAGGAGAATCAGCAAATTACAACAGCAAAATCAAATTCTATACATTGAAAGATCCGAAATAGCTGAATGTGATAATACCTTTCCAAAATGTTTCGCTCATTTAGTGGCTATGGACAAAAGAAGTGTACAATTTGCAAAACAAAATTTGATAGACATTTGCACGGAACTCAATCTATCTAGTGATGAATATAATATAAAACATTTTACAAGGTATTTCTAAAACGTACATACAGGAATATAATCACTTAGACCTATACGCATTTTGTCAGGACTCGGTAATTTTAGTACATGGCATTCTAGTACGTGCCGGAGTGACACATTTTATGCAAGCTTCTATTCATTGATGTTTCCCTTTCAAATAAAATATCGAAGATTAAATAGTGTAATATTTTTCTTCAAAGGGCCCCTAATTTAACGTGACGAGGGCGTGACGTCATATATCGAATGACGTCATAATTGAGCATGTGACGTCACTGATGTCCAACTGCTGTATTTTCTGGCACATGAAATTTTAACCATATCAAATTAGTGACAGCAAGAGGGTAAAGGGACTAGTGTTTCACGATTTGACGCAAAATGGGCACAGAATGTCAAATAAAAAGTGCGAGCGATGCCCAGTTTGAAAATTGCAAAGACAGAACACTATTGTTTTCATGAATTCATTTTTTTTTCATATCAGTTATACTATGTTCGTTTTCCACAGCTCGGCTTTCACCACAATTATTGATTATTATTTTGTTTGTTCATTAGATAAAAAAAAGTTGCACATTTACAATAGCTTCAATTCACATTTTGGACCTCTGATCATCTCTTCACAGTCTCCATTTTGACTTTTCTTCTGTCGACCCGGGATCGTTTTAATCTTCGGGAATTGTGCTAAAAAAACATTTGCATTAAACTAGGATAGCGGTTTTTTATTTGGACTCCAGCAGATACCCGAAATAGCTGAATGTGATAATACCTTTCCAAAATGTTTCGCTCATTTAGTGGCTATAGACAAAAGAAGTGTGTACAATTTGCAAAACAAAATTTGATAGACATTTGCACGGAACTCAATCTATCTAGTGATGAATATAATATAAAACATTTTACAAGGTATTTCTAAAACGTACATACAGGAATATAATACTAACCAGACCGTCGGTAGTAAAACAAAAAAGGGTGACACAGATTTCTGAGCACACAACATTTGTTTCTAGATTAAGAGAGAAAATGAATTTGAAAAAAATAAAACCAGTAATTGAAAATAAAAATTATTTCTGGTGCATGATGTTTTACCGAGCCTACAAAATTGAAAACTTTCGTGCATGAACACTACATCCTGAAAATATTTAGAAAATTCTAAGAATTAACGACAAGAAGGGACGACGGACTCGAGGTGGTTTCAGTATCGTATGGTAAGCTTACGTGCTTGATCCAGTATAGGCATTAAGGCCGCATGGATATTTAAAGGATGATGACAAGCATAGTCGACAATTGTACATAAGAGACTGCCTTAGAGTAAATCATTTTTCAATAGGCTAAGTCTTGTCTACCTGAAGCTTGCATGTAAAAAATCTTCCTTATCAAAATAAATCGTCTACATCATATATGTTGGGAGAGACAAATATTGTTTTCCAATTAGGGGCAATCATACGTTTTTCGAAGTAGGGTGTATAAATACTCAGTCACCGGGTGGAATGGGGACGTCAAATCTGATGCCTCATGCAGGAAGAGTTCCTCGCTTTTTGCATGTTAAATACAAGTGACCTTTGCAACAACTTTTAAGGTGTCCGCAGGTAGTCTGTTGCAAAACAAAATTCATGTTCCTATCCAACATACCTTCTTATTCCCATGGCAGTTTAACTTTACCGCCCTTTATCCCGGGTCAATCCACTTAGCAGAACCTACCCCTTGGATTATTGTTAATTTGTTAATTTGTTCTCGTCCTGAAAATGGCGACATGAATTGTGTCACTGGACGTTAAGAAGATTAACATATTTATTGTAACATTTTACAAAATGATTAGGCACAAGTTATTACTCGTTGGACAATGACTTAAAGTTATTTGAAGGTCCGTTGGACATGGCTTGGATCTATCCAAAGGTCTCTTGGACATGATTTGGACCCTTCTAAGGGTCCGTTGGGCAGTTCTTAAATTTGTTAAAAGACGAAAGTACAATAGGCATGGATTAGAATGTCAGAAAGTGCGTTGGAAATGCCTAAAGATTTCAGAAGACCCGTTGAACATAGCTTAAATCTATCGAATGGATCAAATGTTTTCGACGATAAGACGTATACGCTCAAATGTAATCCATGTAGATCCATCTAAGCATTCAGACCATTAAAATCATGAAAACTATTTTCTGTAATATAATTTTGGAGTGGCTAGGTATTTATACATCCCACCATTGTGTTATTGTGCTATGGTTATTGTTGTATTCTTGTCTTTCATATTTGCTTATGTACTTTGTCTATAGAGTGTCTATATGCCATCTTTTTTCTTTTCTTTCTTGAAATATTTATTTGTTTTTATAGTGATTAAGATTATACTACAATGTTGACTGCTGTACCCCAATTATTTACATATTTACCTATTATGTCTGTTTGTTTTGCTCACACATTGTTGTCAATATAATGAAATTCTATATGACTGTCATATAAGTGAGAGGTTTAGCTAGCTATAAAACCAGGTTGTATCCACCATTTTCTACATAAGAAAATGCCTGTACCAAGTCAGGAATATGACAGTTGTTTTCCATTCGTTTGATGTGTATGAGGTTTTGATTTTGCCATTTGATAAAAGGACTTTCCGTTTTGAATTTTCCTTGGAGTTCGGTATTTTTCTTAATTTACTTTTTAGTAAAACTTACAATAAACAAGAACAACAATTAAGTTATCTTTAATTCAAAATTCATCATTTCAATAATATCATCCCTCTATGTTTCTACCAAAACTGTGTCTATGATCTGAACCACACCGTTCAAAGTTGGTACATCTGCGTTGATTATCTTAGCTGAACCTATATACACTTCTCTCTCTGAAAAAAAAAATCATTCGTAAAACACGGTTTTTAACCTACAGAGCATCATGGTTTTGGTGAGAAATATTAAACATAGTTTTATGAATTGGTGTAGTGCTAAAAAATAATCATTTAAAAAAAAATAGCAAAAATTAATAAAACTAAAGATATTTGTAGTCGAATTCAAAAAGAGGCAACCAACCAACTCATCAAAAGTAGAAAAGACTTCTAGCGATATCAAAAGTTAGAAGATACCAAAAAGGGCAAATCGACGACAAAACCTAACTTTTACAGAAAAAAAACAGACAAATAAAATTCTACAAAACAATGTTACAACAAACATAGAATGAGCAGCACAAACCTCATGACAACATAGACGCAGGCATACAAAAAAGAATCAGCACAGGCACTAAAATAATGTCTTAATAGTGTATTTGTCATGTATTTTGTTATAGTTTTTGTATTCATGAATGGCTCATCCAAATTATAGCGCTTTCCATGCAGTATGGAAGTTTGTCCATATTGTGACCACTAAGTTATACATAAAAATGTAACAGGAATCACGAAAAATACCGTGACTGACCACCAACATCGGAATCCTCCGGGGGAAAAACACGTCCAAAAAAAACATGACAACAACGAACAACATAAATTCTAGATAGGCTGACTTGGTACAGGCACACAATGTTATGTGGTTAATACAGTTTTACGTTTGCACAAACATCCCCCCTGATCTATGAAGACAATATGTCGTAAAAACTAAATCACAATGGTTTGATATTGCCGCTTAAGAAAACGAAAAATATCAGAAACAATATAAATAAAAGGTTTCATGAAGGAGCATCATAACATTTAATTGAAATCGGTTGTACTTTGAGGGGCCAGTATTTTACATTTAAAATCGTCAGATAATCAGAAGAAAACACCATTTAAACCGAGTTAGTATATCACGCCAGTATGTCTTTCTGTTGAAAGATGAAATTAAGAAATTGTTCACTGAGTCGAAGAAAAACCGACAACACCATTGCAAAAAAAAGACAAAAAAGACAACAACAGTCTCCAAAACACTACATAGAAAACTAAAGATGAGCAACACGAACCACACACCAAACCGGGTGATAACAGTTCCTGCTCTACATGTGGCACCCGTCGTGTTCATGCCAAATACAACTTTTGTGTTAATGCAAGGTTATGTTTATTAACAGTTTCTTTGGATAACTTATATCTATAGCAAGCCGTTTTACTATTTATTCTAACTTCAAGATATCTCATAAACTTCATAAGATATGTTTATAAGATATCTTATATAGTTTATGAGATATCTTATATAGTTTTAGATATCGTATATAGTTTATAAGATATCTCATATAATTTTATTTATAAGATATATTATTAACTATATGAGATATCTTATAAACTATATGAGATATCTTATTAAGTATATAAGATATCTTATATAAAAATATTTATAAGATATCTTATAAACTTTAGGAGATATCTTATAAATTATATAAAATATCTTATATAATATATAAGATATCTTATAAAAAAACAGATTATATAAGATATCTTATATATTATATGAGATATCTTATATATTATATGAGATTTCTTATATAGTATATAAGATATCTCATATAGTTTATATGATATTTTATATAGTTTATAAGATATCTCATATAATTTATAAGATATCTTATATAATTTTCTTTATAAGATATCTCATAAATTATATGAGATATCTTATAAACTATATATATATCTTATATAAAAATATTTATAAGATATCACATATACTTTATAAAATATCTTATAAACTTTAGAAGATATCTTATAAAGTATATCTTATAAACTATATAAGATATCTTATATAATATCTTATAAAAATTAAATTATATAAGATATCTTATATATTAAATGAGATATCTTATATATTATATGAGATATCTTGAAATTCGAATAAATAGTAAAACGGCTTGCCATATATATCGTTTAGTATAAAAATAAGAAGATGTGGTATGATTGTCAATGAGACAACTCTCCACAAGAGATCAAATGACGTAGAAGTTAACAACTAAATGTCACCGTAAGGCCTTCAACAATGAGCAAAACCCAAACCCGCATAGTAAGCTATAAAAGGCCCCGAATGCAAAAACAATCTATATCTATCTCACAAACGTTTTACTTTACACAATCCTTTATAGTTACTGAAAACTATCTCGGGGGAAATAAGAATAAAAAGGTTGTGTCGTGTAAACATCAATCACACAGCAACCACGTAAAAATCAAACAAACAATTTCAGGGTCATCATACGGTCGCCGACCACGGACAAACTTGATATCCATATTGCAAGCCTTAGTCCCTCTAGGGAAATTTTTCAAACACACAGATAACTTGGAAAAATACACAAACAGACTCGAGTCATATCTTTGTTTTATTATTCAAACTAATCTAACACATTCAAGAGTAACTTACTTTTAAAAATTAAAAACATGAAGATTGGCCTTACCTTTAATGTCCACTGGAAAAGACGTGCCTGATTTAGCTGTAAATTTCCGTAAGTGAGTAAGACCTTCAGTGAAAAACACTTCATCAGCCATATGGTTTGACAGAACTCCTACAGTATAAAATGTTAACTGATATATAAATGTTTAAAACATTGGATATTTCATAAATTTGAAAAAGAATTAGAAAAGCAATTTTACATAACTTGAAGGACTCTTAGCCATGGTCATCATCCTCATTGGTACAAATCCAGACTTACAACTAAGCTACTTAATTACACCGTGTAGAACACCACATGCTATGTTGGCTATGTTTGACACGGGGTTGCGGTTTTGAAGCGGAGATGAACCGATTTTTTTTAGAATTGTTAGCACCAAATAAGGTATTGCAAGGAAGGAACCGAACCATAATCTATTTCCAGCACGCAGAAGCAGTAGTTTCCAGTGCTCTGTTTTATCAAACACCTCTCCCCAGTTTTCCGTGTTGCTGATTTTGATACTTCATATGCAAGTTTCAGGATAAAAAACTACTTTTGGCGATTGTTTCCCGTATGATTTATATGGAAATGAATTCTTCCTATTATAGAATTTAACCAAATCCCAGCTTCTTAGTAAAAATTTATAGGTTTTAAAGTTAATTTTTCATCGAAATGTAATATATAGCTCGGGGTGTCAGATTTGCGTCTCAAGGGGTAGAGGCATTTATTAAAACAAGGCTAGATTTGCCTATAATTCGGTCTTTATCTGATAGTTTGTAATTCAAACACACCAACTCTGTTATGATGACTCATTACAAACTTAAGGGCATACGATACAGTTACAAGGGAGTTAATGACGTTGCTAACGTGAAATGTTATTTTTCGCGACGTCAAAGTCAAACTGTGACATATCGGGTAACGATGCATTTTCGACTAATTTTTATCATTCAGACTGATTTAACTTGAAAACGAGTTCATGGACCCGTCTTTTTTAAAATGACATTAGGTTTGATTACGTATGAAGATTATTTGTACCAATTTTTATGAAAAAGTCACCGATGAAATTTTTTTTAAATTAGATAAATATACAGCAAAAATGCCGTGTTTTTTTTTCTAAAATCTGAAACTTTGATAAGAATTAATTATTTTCAAAGAATTGTTATACAAATTTAGAGCATACTTATGTAAAGAAGATTTTCCAAATGTTTTTACAAAAATCCGCTTGTGTTTATCTTTTGAAACAAAAAAGTTAGGTATGTCTACCCAAAGGATAGAAATATCCAAAAGACCGAAATTTTGAGTAAATGTCTAAAATTTCGACCCCATTTATCTCTTAAAGTAGCACATGAAGGTATATTTTTTATTACATATTTGAATCGACAAGGTGAAAAATAGCTTGTATGCAAATTTTCGTAAAAAAATCATTGTGGAATCAAAACTGTATCGTATGCCCTTAAGGTATTTCAATTGGCCCATATTTTAGTTTTTTAATTAATGTGCATTTTTAATGTTAGAAATGGAAAAAAAAACCTCAAAGTATAATTATGTTTTATACCTGAACACGGTTTGTTTTGCTTTTCAGTTACTATCATGGTCAGGAAAAAGTCACGGCTATGGCTTAATACACCAAAACATGGAGCAAAATCACAAAGGTGTTCTACACGGTGAATTAATTCATCAAGTTTTATATTCATTTTCACGAGACATCATTAAAAAATTACACACACACAAATAAATAGATGGAAACGCACCGGCTTTATCAAGTATATTTTCTCGTTTTTAAATTCTTAAGAGTATATTTCTTGTATACAGTTTCTCTCCTTTCCACCACCCAGTACCATACTAGGCCAATTATGTCATTGAAAAAAGAAATCAAACTGGAAATTGGTACATTTAAACTCTTTACAAAGTTGATAACAATCGTCACCTGAATGATGGCCTGAAACAAATGTATTTACCAGTTGAAGAATACGTGTTACATTTTATAAACCATACCTTTAAGCAATTCTGGATTACTTGTGATATTTTGCAAAACACCAGGAGCTAATTTGGAAAATGCTGCATTGTCTGGTACTAAAACAGTCATGTTAGGTCCTTTAAGAAAAAAAATCCATAGATGTAATACAAGACTATGAAATGAAGTGCCAATTGATATCGTGTTATAATTTGTGTTAGGCGTTCTTGATCCAAGTTGATATGATTTGGTGATTTGATGTGTTTTGACAAATTTGTGCTTTGAATGATGTTTTTTAATATAGACATAACATGAATAAGGAAATCTGGTATGATTGCCACTGAGACAACTCTCCACCAGAGACCTAAGGACATGGGTGCATGCAACCATAGGTCACATTACGGTCTTCAACAATGAGCTAAGTAAAAAAAAACAATTTGTCTGCTTGAAATCACATGATTTACTGAAGGCAAAACATTAATAATAAAAAACAATTTAAAAAGCTATGCACATATTATACAACAAATATGCATACTCAATGTATTGATAGCTGATTGAAAAATATATAAATATACCTTTAAAAGTGTCCAAATCCTGAGCTTTAGATGCAAGTAAGAGAAATGTGCTTACATTGCGGTCTTCAGATATATATTTGTATGCTGTTTTAGTTGGAATCTGATATAATACATGATGTATAACACATATCCTTCCATTCTTTGTCCTGTCCTCAACGTTCATGTACTCACCACCTTCTACTGTTATTAAAGTTTTGTTGTCCTGAAGTAGGTATATAAAATAACAATCAGCCAGTGCTTCGTTTGAAGGCATACTCTTAATGATGCATTTTAAAGAAGTTTATTTTCTATCAATTAAACATATAATTGTATTAAAACTAGAGTCTTAAATCAGATAAAGTTCGCAATTGACCGTTTTAACTGTTCTAATTGGGTCGTTTGGGGTTTTCATGTTTCCCAATTTTAGTAGATGGTATTTTAGAAGTTTACTCTATAAACATGTTCCCAATTTTTGATAGATTGTACTTAAGAAGTTTACTCCATAAACATGTTCCCAACTTTTGGTAGATTGTACCTTAGAAGTTTACCCAAGAAGCATGTTTCAAACTTTTGGTAGATTGTACTTTAGAAGTTTACTCCATAACATGTTCCAAACATTTGGAAGATTATATTTAGAAGTTTACCCAAGAAACATGTTCCCAACTTTTGGTAGATTGTGCTTTAGAAATTTACTCAAGAAACATGTTCCCAACTTTTGGTAGATTTTACTTTAGAAGTTTACTCCATTAACATTATAATAGAATTAACACATTTGTATGGAACGCCACAGCTGTCTTATGTGGAACTCTGATATTACTTTATGTTGTTTTATTATAACTTGATGATATTTTGTCTTTACTTAATATGGTTTTGACATTACGTAATGATGTTTTGATATAACTCAATATGGAATAGTCATTACTTAATGATATTTCGATATTTCACGATATGGTTTCGTATTGATTTGATATAGTTTTGTCATTACTCAATATGGTTTTGTCATTACTCGATGTGGTTTCACCATTAATTAATGTGGTTGTGTCATTAGTCAATGTGGTTTTAACATTACTTGATGTGAATGTGACTTAACGTTATGTAGTTGTTTTGTAATGATGATTTGCCTATTCTTTATATGGTTTTAACATTACGTAATGATGTTTCAAAATTTGACGATTTTACACCAATTCGGAAAAACCTGTTCTATTTTTAGATAGATTTCCATGTTGTATGTGCCTTGGATGAGTGTGGCCATCCATCGAATTAGAGTTCAAATTAAAGTTACTGTTTGAGTTATACTTTGACTTAGTCTTCGATTTCGAATTCAAGTCATTATTAGAATTAAAGTTTTAGTTAGCATTGAGTTGTGAGTTGGACTTCGAGTTTGAGTCACATTTAAAGGTAGAGTTCTAGTTACAACATTAAATTTGAGTCACTTTTTGAGTTTGAGTAAGATTCGAATTTGAGTCTCATTCAGATTAATTAAGATTTTGAGTTGAAATTGGAGCTATCTTATATGAGTTCGTAATTAAATTTTCTATCGCGGCACAAGGACTTTTGCTCGGGCTTCCGAAAAGAGGGCTACGGAGTATGCGTACAAAAGATAAACAATGTTACAGTATACAAAACGCAACATAGAAGTTGAAATAAAGTTAGTTGTGGTGTGATTGACAATGAGACAACTATCTACCAGAGTTTAAATGCAGTAAATGTTAGAAATCATATATAGGCAACCGCACAGCCTTCAACACACCGTATAGTCAGCTACAAAAGGCCACCATGCACCATGTGAAAAAATTCAAACGACAAAACAAACGGTCTTATTTATATTTAAACAATCTACAAAAAAAAATGACACACATTTATACAACGACAACAATTGAACTTCATGCTCCTGACTTGGGGCAGGTACATAAAGAAAGTGCACGTGGCGGAGTTAAACATGTATGTGAGCGCTAAATCCTAACCTTAAATCGGACTGTTACAGTTGTGTAACAGCACAAAACGAGAAAAAAATGTAAACTAGACAAAGTGATGTCCCCGCACTCAACTCATTTAACCGCTTATACCCCAAAAATGACAAAAAAAGTTCAATTATCTCCCAAAAAAGCATAAGATAATAAAAATAAAAACCCTGACCACATGCACACCTTCAATAATTGTACAAACAGCCAGCAGAGTGAATACTTCCTGGCATTCTAAATTCAAACTATAGAAGGAGTTATCTGGAAACGCTCTTCTTATGCAAGTAAATTTCCCAAAAAATTACAAAAAAAAGTTCAACTATCTCCCAAAAGAGCAAATATTAATAAACATTAAACCCTTACCACATGCACAACTTCAATATATGTACAAACAGACAGTAAAGAGAAAACTTCCTAGGATTAAAACTGTAGGAGGAGTTATGCGGAACAACTATATATCCATAATGGGACGGACATACGGACGGACGGACAGGGATAAAACAGCATGCCCCCCAACTTTCAGTTGCGGTGGCATACAAAACAGTTTCATTTGGCTGACTCAATAGATCGGTATGACTGGGTAATATAAATCCATCGGGGTGATCTCGGATGCTCCAGAAAGGCACCCGTCGTGTTATTCGAGAGAGTACAAACCCAGTGATTTGGTTTTATTTGGTAGTTCACATTCAAGGAAAAGATGACGGTATTATGGTTACGACCACTGGAACATGTCCGTCGTCACATGTGAAACAGATATTCCAAAAAGTGTATTTTTCAATTAGTGCGAGGTAGATCAGGGAATTCAATTGATTACAAATAAAAGATTGATATTCATATAAGTTCAAATGATCATTTACGCTAAAAAAAAATCGGAAAATTCTTATTTGATAGTATTTATGCTTTGTCGCTAAAACCGAGCCCCCTCCTCCCGTTTCCCTGTAACTTTAGTGTGAGTTGATTTGAAGTGTTTCATTTGTTAACAATAAAGTTCAAGTCTTTTGATTTGTGTCGAGCCTGTGCCATCAATGTTGCGGCAGTGAGACACAACAAACCTATATTTCGTCGTCGATAGTGGCGTCGGCGTCTCCGTCTCCATTTTTTAAAATTTTTATTGAGTTTAACATTTCATTATACATGTTACTAAACATGTATGCCATCATAATTTTGTACTTTTAGAATATCATACTGTATTTTTTTACCTCAACTATTGTATCTGTATTTATATTGTATGTTTCTCTGTAAACTTATAATTAGTTTTTAGAGAATAAAGTATCTATCTATCTATAGATCGTTAGGTTTCTAGTTTTTTTACATTTTTCATTTCGGGACCTTTTATAGCTTACTATAGGGTATAGATTTTGCTTATTGTTGAAAACCATACAGTTTTGTTTTAGTTAAATAAAACCGAATTAAACTGTTTTGACATGATAAATTTGTAAACCTCCATGAAGTGTTTTAAAACTTGTATAGGAGTTATTCCTCAATTTCAAGAAAAAGCATCTACAGAAAAACATTTTTTTTTTTTAATTTTTTTTTTACCGATAAATGTATAGATAAATGTACAGCCGATCGACATGACGCTTTTACACTTACAGCAGCAATATTAGGCGAGACACAGGGTTCCGTGGAATATTTTACAAATTTATTACAAAAATACTGCTTCCTTTTGAGAACTTAGGATAAAAACAACAAGACCAAGTGGTTTGGGATATCCCAATTATGTCCGAAATACTGTAAACTTTTTATTACTTTTTTTTCTTATTATTGTCTGCCGTTCCCCTTTTTCGTACCAAATAACTCTGAACAACCACTCGAACATTAATTTGAACTTTAACTCAATGGATAGCGATACCCATCCAAAGCACATTAAACAAATGATATATTTAAACAGTTAAATTTTAATTATTTAAAAAGCTCGGCAAGCCTCGCGCTTTAAATATTAAAATTTAACCGTCTCGAGTGGAGAAATATCGTAATACACTTGTTGCAGTGGTGGAATCTATATGTATCTACTCGTTTTAAGAAGGATATAGAAGTGTGACGATTGTAACAACAAATTGTTTGAACGGTCCTGTTTAGATAGCTTAGCTATACCAGACACATGAGAATACAGAGATCCTAGTCATAATATAAGTTGAGATCTAAAAACAATACTAAGTTATTCTTGCCACATGTGCATGTGCCTGTTCCGTCATGAAACTCGAAAATGGCGGGTTGTCGTTTTTTTTTATATCTCAGTGGTTTCGCTATTTAGCGAAGTTGAAATCATATATTTAGTATATTTTGTAAAATGTCTTGATTTTCCTTATTTTGTATTAATATTTAAGCATATTTTGGATTGGAAAAGTATGGTCACACCTAATGATTAACTTTTTATATTTTGATAGGATTATTTTATAGCGAAAGAAAGCTTTAAAAAAACAATGCTGTTACTTTTGCTGTCGGCTACAAAGGAAATATGGACGGATAACTTTATAAAAACATGTTTCTTCATTTTCTTTATTAGAACATCATAACATTGTAAATCTGGTTTAATTCTTAAAACTAGCTCTTTCGGTTTTATAAATTCCCCTACAATATGAACAAATTTGAAGTACTTAAAAATAGGGAAAATGACAGTTAAGTACTCGTGTTGCTCAGTCTATAGTTTTCGAAGTTGTACTTTGTAGACTGTTGTTTGTTTTTTCGTTGTTTTTCGTTTCTTGCCATGGCGTTGTCAGTTAGTCTTCGACTAATGAGTTAGAATATGTTATTCAAAAGAGACACCATGCCTTTTACAACAGTCAGTTACTTATATTGCTGAAGATGTCTAGAAAATTATTTTGTTTGTTTGTTATATGGAAATAAAGAACGATTTGTTCTAACTCTTATTATACACTTTATTAGTTTGTGTTATAATGTATTTTGCAACCTAAATATTAAGTCTTCTGTCTATAGCATAAATGAAGTAATCCATGAGACTTTTGCTTGCTTCGTCAATAAGTGAATTTATCTAATTTTGTGACAATTTGTACGACTTTGTCCCCAGCAGAGCTATAGAAAAACAGCACAATAACGGGTGTTACACGGACACTTTTTATGAATAGAGTCACTAGTGCATTCAGTGAGTTCATAGGCATTTTATCGTATACCTTGTGACCTAATTACCTTGTTTTATAAATATAATTTATATGAAAATTGTTTATAAAAATTGTATTTATAAAAAAGCTAACTATGTCCCAAAATGCTGAAATTAAATAAAGTGTCTACGAAGTTACTGACTGCAAGAGTAACTGCAACCATAAAATATGTCCATGTACAAACCTCTCGTGTGTTTGCATAGGAGTAAGATTAAATCTTTCAAATCGTCTAAATCGTACTATTCGGAGGATTTGCCCTTTTCTCTTCATGTTCAATGAATTTGCTTAAGTCGAATTGTGATAGAACAAAATCAATATTTATACATGTTGTATTTACGTTTGTCTGATTACTCTTTCTTATTTCATTTGAATCTATCAAAAATGTTTCAATATATTCTTGTATGACATCAAGATTACATCTTATATCATGTTGTTCCATAAGTACTGTTTGTTTTGATTTGCTTATGAAGAGGGTTGTTTGAATTGGTAACTTTAAATCAATTTTGCAAATTTAAAATTCGACATTTTATGAAAATGACCCATATAGCCATTGTCGATGTAAAGTTTGCGTTACGGACCCATCAAACGATCAATCGGCTTTATGGAAATTGGAATGTTTATGTATTTATATTATAGTAACTTATTTGTAAGTTTATTGTCTTACCTGTTCTGATGTGTATCTGTTAACTCGTAATTGTTCTCCTTGGAAAGTTGGCAATAAACTGTTGTCTTTCATATTGTTACATTGAAGTTTCTGAGGAACTAAATGGTACATAATTGTTTCTTTTAAAAATGTTTTATTTTTAGACATCATCTCCATGATTGCTGATGGAATACTGTCCAGTGCACCTCTTGAAGGCAGAAACAGAGTTTTGCTATCTACAAAAAGAAAAAGCATCTCTGCAACCAAATCGTCCTTTCTCTAGTTTGTTGAAAACATTATACATGTATATACCTTCTAAGTTTTTGTATTGATTACTGCAATCCAAGAAAGGTTGTATATCTTTAGAATCAATATTTCTAAAAGCTAGCTCAAAGGAAAATTCTTCGGATTTAAAAAAAAATATCGACAACTACATATACTATAACCGGCTATCGGAACGACGACAGCTACCATAGGATCTGAGTTTCCCATTGATCTTAAGAGAAACATTAGCGTTGGCTATATCGTGTACCGTAGATTTTTGTCTGCGTCTCCTATTGTCATTGCAATACAGTTGATTTTACAATTGTGTAAAGCATTTTGATATGCGTTACATAATGTATCTGCTGAACATATAGCCGGTAATACGGTATGCAATGCACTTCTAAGTAATTCTCCTAAAGCTTTGCCATGCAATAGTGCTTGTGTCACGTCCTTAGCTAATTTAGGAAACAATTTTAAACAGAAAAGAAATGTATATGAAGCCATTTAGCTGTGATTCAGAATAAATCAATAAATCAATATTAATCCCGAAAAATACAAGATATAAGGATTTTGCAAACAACAGTTTACATAAGATTCATCCTTTTGAAATAAAGATTATTTATATGATTTAAAATATAAATTAAAGAGCAATCTGATTAAAATTCAGATCTATATTAACTCGCGTACTCGTATATATGAGGATAACCAAATCAGAGATCTATATTTGAATTAGATTGAAGTTTAAGATTTGAAGAGCATTCTGAACATTGTTTATTCGAGACACACATCTCGAATTCATTCGTCAACGTTTGAGGCAAGGTAGAGATTCTAATATGAGAAACGAAACTCCTGGGTAAGCTACTGGAAAGGGATATATTAAGACACAAAATACATTGTAAGCATGCTTGCCTTACCATTTCCTTTTGTAAATTCATGCGTAACATGAGCTTTTTCACATAATTCAACGAATTTCCATGATCCAAGAAAGTCTGCACAAGTCAGCAAATCGTAAAATTGACACGGATTACAATTGGCCGATATGACTGCAGCGAAAATTACCAACAAAATCTTCATTTTAAAATATTAGATTAAAATGAAAACACGGACATGACTAGGACTGTGTATATCACAAGTCATACACATATCTACCTAAGATAAATCACATTGATAAATATGATAACAAGCACCTAATAAGTACTTTGGCACTAGTGTGATTTTCACAAATTCCCAATTCTAAATTTAGCACGATCTTCTGGTTTAGTCTCATTGAGAGACTTAATCGATTTTTGTCATTTCTTTTTAGTATTTTTTATTTCAACTCTTTTTTTAAGCAATTGAATTCCCTTAAAATTTGGTCTTCTTTACTTTAGAATGTAAAACGTATGAATAAGTAAAAGAATTTGTCTACAAAATGTATGCTTAAAATCAAAAGTACAATGCATGTATATCAATAGGTACGTAAATCTTGATTATGAGAATGTACGCCTTTTTATGGATTTATCCTCATTTTCCAGTTGTATTCCAAATTTCCCGCCCTTCATCCCTGACGAACCCTGTTACAGGACCTACCTATTGTATGTATTGTTAATTCGTTCTCGTCCTGAACATGCATGAAATATTTGCCACTGGACGTTAAGTAACCAACAATCTAACCATCCTTGTTATGGTCTTTTATCATTTATGAAGTGCTTTATTAAACTGTCAAATAATGGGCAAAGTACCACCTACAACATAAACCATTATGCCATCAGATCTCAAAATCCATTCTAATATGTTTTATTTGGTGATACATCAATGGGTTGGGCACTCAATTTTATAGCCGAGCCGATTTTGGTCACGTTATCGTTAAATCTCAATTTTTCTGAACTATTAATTCTCCTTGTTTGATTGTCCGGACAAACGTAAGTAAAGAAAAGTGCTCCGAAAACAGAACGAAAAAAATCCTTTTTTTAAACAAAAATTAAGGCAGCAATCTCTCACCGAGTCAAGTTGACCCGAGAAGGTTTTAGCTTCCTGCATTTATTTTGTTCGAATTCATTTCGCCACTACTCGATCTAAACTTTTGAATCAGAGCTTGTTCCGGTGAAGTTAAAGGTGTCAGACCACCAATTCAAAATCCCTATCTATCCAACAAAATTTTGCAAATTTCACAGCTTTCTTAATATTTTACCTTAAGTTTAACTTCATAGAAATCAGGTATATACCCAAAGATTATCATCCGCCACATAATATTCCGACACTTAGCTTGTGTTTTCATAATTTGTAACTTTTTAACAACAACGGTCAAATGATGCAACTCCTAAATTTCAAGTTGTCATTCAACATGCAGCATTAGAGACCAAGTGGTATTAATATTAACTTGTGAATACGTCCCCCTTCCAAAGTGAAAATGTTTAAGATCATCCCCTTCATGGTATTTCAAAATAACATCTCTATTAGATGGATAATTTAAACTTTTATTCAGTATCCGACCTGATCACTTAGGGTCGTCTTGAACGTGCAGTGAAGCGACGTGAGCTGTTGCTCAGTGTTGAAGGCCTCAATGTGAATTTGCGTTGAGCAACAGTAATAACATCGTTGTTTTTTTTTGGCTTTGCCAAGTGCGTTTTAAGAAATTTTGACATGAACTAAGACCCACGTAGTTAGTAGAGTATGATATGTACTCGTCAAAGACCTGCTTTTACTTCATAGTTTGTGCCGCTAAAGTCATATAGACTCACATTATATTTCCCAATGTTTGTCTAAGTCTATTTTATAGGCATTTATTGACGGGTCCTTTATCATATTATCAGGTAGTTTGTATTACTCAACATGTCAAAATTAAGAGAAATTCAATCTTCAGAAGCCAAATGAGGAGCTACTACAGGTTCCTGACCTTCCTAGATCTTACTATTTCTTCAGTTCCTATTGGTCAAAAGTGTTGCAGTATGCATTTCATCCAATTCATTTTTGTTTTCAAAATTTGTATGAAATATTTGCTGCTGTGTGTTAATTAAACAAACTATCAAACAAGAAAAATAGGTCACCACGAACAACATTCTATGTCTTATCGTGTTAAGGTCTTGTCCAAGTTTATTTCTATGGTACTGCATATTCTTCAATTCTGTAACTCGGTGATGTTCAACTTTAACTATTAGATTTGGAATATATTCCAATTTAAAAACACAAGACAACACAATAAAACAAACTAGTCTAAGAACTGTTGACTAAGCTGGACTAATACACAACCCCAACATCCTGGATTGACATTTAGGTAAACTAGTTACTGATATACAGGAAATCAAAGAAATTGATAATATAAATTTGTATTTTTTCTAGTATTTCATTTCATGTCTCAGCTTCATGTACATCTTGCATACATATTTGTATGGAACGCCATGACTGCCTTATGTTAATGATCATCATTATATGCAGTGGTCACAGCAATATATGCAGTCGTGAAAGCATTGTTGCAGTGGTCAAAACATTATATGCAGTGGTCACAACATCATATGCAGTGGTCACAACATAATATGCAGTCGTGACAACATTATATGCAGTTGTCGGAACATTATATGTAGTGGTCACAACATTTTATGCAGTGGTCACAACATTATATGCAGTCGTGGTAACATTATATGCAGTGGTCACAACATTATATGCAGTGGTCACAACATTATATGCAGTGGTCACAACATTATACGTGTTTTGTTGGTGAAGGTGATGATCAGTGATAGGGATGATGATGATTTATGATAGTGATGGTGGTGGTTCAATTCGGATAAACTTCGTAAATTTTTTATCGGAAATTGCCGAATCCAAAATTGATAATGCCCCGCAAACAAAATGAAACAGTTATTGAAGTCATGTAATTTAGGCAATTCGATTGAAAACTTTATCAGAGAAAAAATAACGCCTGCTATTGTCTGCAAATTGGACAGACATAATTTTATAAATTTAGGGGTAGTTCATTCCGAGGAAATGATGAAACTAAGAGTTGAATGCATTAACTAGTTCTGTCCGTCTTAAGAAATACGCATGGCATAATGTAAGTAAAATAATGTTTAATAAAAATGAAATATCAAAGGACAGTTTGTATACTATATGGCTCGAGTTCATTTCCTACTGAAGAACTATTGCTAGGTGCCACTTTATAGTCGATATTCAGTTTAAATGGCATAAATACATTTTGAATAAAATAGTCAGTAAGACCTAAGTCCCATATCTCGCCAGCTTATATATGTCATGATAGAGCCATTATTTGGCTTTGATTTTCAGAATTATGCATTTTTACATGATTTAGTATCTAACAGATATGAAAAATGCAGTTTAAAGCCTTTCATTGTAGGTGTTTAATATAACAAGTTGTTATTGTTAACATAACGGGGTTACTTCCCTTTCAAAACAAAAAAAGAAATCTGAAAGGATTCAACAGACGAAGTAATTATAATACATGTAATGAACGATTGAAATTAATTCATAAAACAAATTTAAAGCTTAAAAGTTGCTATTGTTGGCATTTGTTTTCTGTATAGACAAATGGAAGTAGGATCTTAATACTCAGTATTGAAGACTTGATCACTTTGATAGGCCGCTAGTCAAAATACCACATGTGAAGATAGTCGGTAAGATAAATTCGTTACACGGTGTGCTAGTGACCTTATACGATATATATGGGGTCAGTAAATTCCATACTACTGACCCCATATATATCGTATTAGGTCACTAACACACCATGTAACTAATAATATATGACAGCATCGATCATATTTTACAACTTCAGATAAACATCTTTTTTGGTTCATGATAGTTGATGCTCATATCAAAATATAAACTTTTATTAGGAAAATTTACCCTTTTTCAGACCCAGTTTAACATTTTTATTTATAGTTATCATCTCTTTATCATCCTTTCGGAAAACGGAGTTTGGGAGTGGATATTGCGTTTACTACGTTTGTTTGTCCGTATGTCACGGTTAATATAAAAATAAGGAGATGTGGTATGATTGCCAATGAGACAACTATCCACGGGTTCAAATGAAGTGGATGTAAGCAATTATAGGCAATCGTACGGCCTTCAACAATGAGAAAAACCCATACCGTATAGTCGGCTATAAAAGGCCCCGATATGAAAAATATGAAACAATTCAATTGAGAAAACTTACGGCCTAAGTTTTGCGTTTTAAGGTCAAGATCGGAACAAACTGCGAGTCAAAGAGGAATGGTTCACTATTAGTGCGCACATCTTGAATAGTAACGAATGTCCATGAAAAAATTGGGTCACCTCGACCTAATTTAATTCTGGTTAAGTTTTGCATTAAAATACAAAATCTCATCAACTACAAAACATAGAGGAATGATATCTTTTAGATCGCACATCTGTGATAACAACAATGGACCTTGAAAAAAAGTTGGTCACCTCGACCTATATTTTTCGCATGAATGATTTTGATTAAAATTTGTGTTAAGCCACGGTCCAGATGAAATCAACTACAAGTAAAAGAGGAATAATATTTGTTACTGAGCAGCACTTCTTTGATATTAATGAAGGTCCGCACAAAAATTTTGTCACCTCAACACACAGGCGCTAGGCTAGCGTTTTGAAATTATATATACTCTACAACAACAAAAAAACAAAACTTGCCACTCCTTATTATGTTTCTTAATGGAGAGCTATTGTTTTACTGTGAATTCTTCTCGTTGTTGTTATTGGCGTTCTAATTCTTGTCTTGTCTTGTTACTATAGTCTGGGGATTTCAGTTATTTTTGCTAACAAAATGTTTTCCCTATCCCATGTTAGGATCCTTGTCAGAAGTTGCAACTTGAAAATTTCATATCTGAATATGTTTCGTTATCTGGAAACTTTACTTTTGATGGTAGATCTTGATTGTTTCTGTGGGGCTTTTTTCTCCTGCATATGTTTCACTCACGGGGTAAAAATCGGAATTGGATTTTTATATATTGCATAGTCCGAATTATATACTTAAAAAAGATTTTCATTCATAAAATAGTTATTTTACACTACAAATTGCTGTTCCATGCCTTTTTAAAACAATATTGCAAATCTTATACGTTTTATTAAAATTCTATTTCGAATGACATCGCTGACCAACATAAATTAAATTTGTTTCCAAAATGCAATACATAATTTATTTCTGACAGATATTTGGTTCTCCTTGAAAAATAATGGGTCATGATATATCTAAATTGCAGTCCCGAGTAATCTGAAGATGTTTATTTGGGATTAAATGTTCAGAAATGCACAATTATATATGTTTTTAAATACTTAAATTACAAACATATTAAGTTGTGATACTAATCACTGAAATACGATAAAATGACATTAAAAATGACCCTGACGTGGAATAAATTCTTGGTGAATTGGTCCTACTTTCTAATTTCCTTATTTCAATTCAGAGTTTTATATATTGTATAGATAGCTGTCTATTGTTACCGACTGTATGACTCTAATGTTGTACGGTTGTCTTTGTCGTTGGGTTGCTGCCTCATTAACGTGTATCCATATCTCTATTTTTCATATGAATATGATAGGAATGAGACATCGTACGTTGATTGAGTGGATCGACGTATTTCATGTAAGCAAAATATTTCTGTCCAAGTGCAGAATCTGCTGTCTGTGGTTGATCGGTTGTCATTTATCCATGTTCGTTTTTTTTTAATTTGTTTTAGTTCATTCTTTGCGACGGGATGCTTTATCCTTTGTTAATTGTTCCTTTACATAAGCCATTGTGATATGTATAAAATATTAAAAAAAAATTTGTATATTTGGACAGCATTATACGAAAACAAAACGTTCACTTCAGAGAAAATAAAAAATAAGATCAAGTGGGAACAAATGATCAAATCATATAAGACATCGAAAAGAGGAGACTCCTTGGAGTAATAGTTTTGGTGTACAGTCATGGCACCACATGATTTGAGGAACGGACCTCGATCATAGGCTCCCGGTGGACGTCGATCTTAGTCTTACATATACTAGTCAACAATGGTAACGATACACAAGTTTGAAGTCCAATTTATCATAAAATATAATAAATAGGAAAAACTGTTAAATTATCCAATGAAAAACATTCATTTGCAAAGCAAATGCGTATGATTAAAAGAATCTGACCAAATTGAAAAGTACCGTGTTATTGCACATAGGGGTCAAATTTATTTTGCGGAAAATGATGACAAAAGTCGGCACTTAATTTCGAAGATAAGAATTAAGTATTCAAATATCTGCAAAGGCATTCAAAATTTTCAGCAGACCATGTTTAAGTTTAAAGTTTTAAGTTCTAATATCGATTTTTGAATTTTGGGGTGAAAACACGATTTTTGAAATAACAAAAATTGCAAAAAAAAAAATTCGCATATTTGAGATTTGAATGGTTTTGATAGAAAATAACTCTGTAAATATTAGACCAATTGGGCAATTATTAACCTTGGTACAGTGTATTCAATTTCATTATATAAGGAAAATACATTGCCATGGCCCCCCTTTTGTGGGAAAAATTTGGTTGATTATTTATGGAATCACTGAAGCATGACTGGAGCGGGCCTCCTCTTATGGAAGTCAGTGCCCCCCCCCCCCCCTTATGAAAATTTCTGGATCCGCCACTGGTTGACTAGTATATATATGTGGCATATATGTTTTGGTTGTTCAATATGAAATGATTTCGAGACATGCAGTATACAAATGCCATACAATGTTTCATTATTATCATTCATTATTGTTAAATTACATTATGCCGTGCGTATTTCTTAATATAAATAGAACTATAATTAAATTCATTTAATTTTTAGTTTCATCATTTCCTTGGAATGAACTACCCCTAAATGGATTAAAATTATGTCTGTCCAATTTGCAGACAATAGCAGGTGTTATTTTTTTTTAAAAAAGATTTCAATCGAATTGCCTAAATTACATGACTTCAATAACTGTTTCGTTTTGTTTGCGGGGCATTATCAATTATGACTGGATTCGGCAATTTCCGAAAAAAAATTTACGAAGTTTACCGAATTTGAACCACCACCATCACCATCATCAATCATCATCATCACTATCACTGATCATCATCACCTTCACCAACAAAACACGTATAATGTTGTGACCACTGCATATAATGCTCCGACAACTGCATATAATGTTACTACGACTGCATATAATGTTGTGACCACTGCATATAATGTTGTAACCACTACATATAATGTTCCGACAACTGCATATAATGTTGTCACGACTGCATATAATGTTGTGACCACTGCATATAATGTTTTGACCACTGCATATAATACTTTCACGACTGCATATAATGCTGTGACCACTGCATATGATGATGATCATCAACATAAGGTAGTCATGGCGTTCCATATATTTGCATATCAAGGTATACAAATATACTCTGTTTCATATAGATAAATGAACCATCTTTAAGGACATGCCATGACAAGGTGGGAGCTGGACATAGCCAAAATTTGTTAAGTTCAATGGACCATTACTCTAGAAAAACTCAATTGATTGGAATATCCTACCCATATGTACATCTCCATATTAGATTCTAAAAGAATCGTGTAGATATGACAAAACATATAGGAGCTGTGATGACAATGTCTGATTGAAAACCCCAAAGTTTCTAAGTTCAATTGGCATTACTCTTAAATAAATTCTCTAAGGACTGAAATATCCTACAATTACACATCTACAGAATAGAATATATCAATGATCATCAACGTTCTAACTTAAATGTAGGTATGACAAACCCTGAATCAGTAGTAGTATCATTTTCCCTTTAAAACCATAGGTACTAGGGGACAGGATCATTTTTTTTTTACCCTCCCCCTTTTTTTCCAAAATCCTTTATTTTTTTTCGTTTTCTATTAATTTCAATTATTTTCGCATTTTTCTGTATTATAAGAACATAAATATACTACAAATAACTTGTATTTGCTGTTTACTATCAATTCCAAGTTTACTATCCACAGCGGTCACTGATATATAATAAATAACGGATTTTGGAAAAAAGGGGGAGGGTAAAAAAAATTGTCCTGTCCCCAAGAACCTATGTTTAAGACCATAGTTCAAATGAGAACTTAATACAAAGATAATGGCCTCCAAAAATCCTACTTTTTGAAGGCTGTTAACTTTTATGCTGATGATATTTCAGTCATGGTGTCTTTAGGCAAAATGTTGTCCTTTATCCAAATGTTTGCACCATGACAGAAAATATTTTTAAATCGAAAGTTTATATTTTTATCACTGAAAATTGATACCTGTTTTGGGGTATAATACCCATAAATGAGGATAGGACCCATTTATGAGGATCCTCCCCAACCTGTCCAATAAAACTCAATGGACAAGAACATCATACCCATATGCACATCTGCATATCAAACAATGCACTGAGTATAATTTAGAAACAATGAAGTATGTAGGATAAGTTGCAATGAAAAGGTCAGTTCTGAAAACTCAAAATTTTCTAAGCTAAGATAGACTGGCATATCTCTAGAAAAACTCAAAGGTCTTGAATATCCTACCCAAAATCACATTTTCATAAAAGAATCTAACAATGTACCAACTTCCATGTAGATATGATAAACCACGAGGGAGGGGTTGTCCTGACAAGATAGGTCACATAAGTGTTTAACAAGGCAAACTTTCTAAGTTTAAAGAGGCATGTCTCTCAATATTAACTCAATGGATTTGAGCATCCTACAAACATGCACATCTTAGGGGGAGGGTTGGGATCCCGCTAACATGTTTAACCCCGCCACATTCTGTATGTATGTGCCTGTCCCAAGTCAGGAGCCTGTAATATAATTCAGTGGTTGTCGTTTGTTTATGTGTTACATATTTGTTTTTCGTTCATTTTTTGTACATAAATTAGGCCGTTAGTTTTCTTGTTTGAATTGTTTTACATTGTCATTTCGGTGCCTTTTATAGCTGACTGTGCGTTATGGGCTTTGCTCATTGTTGAAGGCCGTACGGTGACCTACAGTTGTTAATTTCTGTGTCATTTGGTCTCTTGTGGAGAGTGGTCTCATTGGCAATCATACCACATCTTCTTTTTTACATCTGTATTTTACAATCGAACAATATACCAAGTTTTGTGTAGATACAATAAAACATGTAGGAGGTGTTGCAATGAGAAGGTTGGTGCTGGACATGGCCAACATTTCGAAGTTGAAAATGTCATAACTCTCAAAAACTCAATTGATAGGAACATCTTACCCACATGCACATATGCATATAAGGATCTAACAATGTACTAAGTTTCATGTAGATATGAGTAACCATGTGGTAGGAGTTGTGACAAGACTGGTTCTGAAAAGGGTCAAAGCTTTAAAAATGAAAGGGGCATAATTCTGGATTAACTGAACAGAAAACAAATTCCTCACATATAATGATAAATTATTCCACAAGTTTCAAAGTGCATCAAACAAAGGATAAGGAAGTTGGACAGTAGGCCAGAGAGGCTGATTCCTATATATCCAACACACTTTGTTTGCAGGGAATATTATATGTTATTCAGGTCTTGGACAGGGTATTCAGCTCAGGGAATATTATTAGTTACATAGTGTGCTAGTGACCTTATATGATATATATGGGGTTAGTAAATTTCATATGGGGTGAGAGCGAATTTTATCTTACTGACTATCTTAACATGTGGTATTTAGACTAGTGGCCTAACAATTAAGAACCTATACTTCCATTGGTCTATACAAAAACAAATGTCAACAATAACAACTTGTTAGCTTTAAATGTGTTTTATGAATTTATTTCAATAGTTCATCATCAATTTCTTCGTCTGTTGAAACCTTTAAGATTTTTCCTCAACACCGTGATGTTTTTATAAAGGGACGTAACACCACTACTAACCGTGTATTGAAATAAGCCCCGCCTACTAACCCAATATAGAGTATACATGGTCTCCAAGCCGTTGCTTTAAACCAATCATATTCCTAGAAATGTATAGGAGGTAAGATAAAAACTCTTAGCCGGGAATGTCACATTATATTCCCTGTCTGAAACCTGAATTACACATATATTACGGATTACCCCTGCCTTAATGTTTTTCCAGTACCAGGTATTCATTAAACATTCACCATGCAGTATATATATTCAGTATATGCTTATTGTTTCTTAATATTTTGAGTAATTCTTTTAAAAATGCAAGTTTTTCATCTATACAAATATTTTTTTTCTTGTTAAGAATTTTTTTCAATAACGTTTTTAGATTTCATGTAAGCTGTTTGTATGTTTGTGACTTTTTATGTATTATGACTTTTTTTGACAACAAAATTATTGAAAAACCCAAGCTGATATTTTTCGCATACATGAAGGATTTTGTAATTTGCTGTGAAAATAATTTTTATCGTGTATGCAATGATTTGTAATAACACTTTTAGACATTAATTAAGTATTTGATGTGTAAATCGAGTGATTTTAGATTAAATTAAAAACGTATTATTGATAGATACACATCATTATTTTCCCTCTGTGAGCCTCTGACATTCTTTAAGTGTTCTGTATAGCTTAAGACTAGTCACATAGTAACGTTCGTTATGATGACGTTGTTGAGGTTCCAATTGGGATAAAAAAAAACGTCATATATGCTCAGGCAGTTTCCTGAATATATACTGCCATCTCTATATTGTTATCCAATCACAAAACTCGACATATTTGTAATCCGTAATATAATAAAATATGATGTTTATAGATTCAAACATGAAACCTTCAACAATGACACATGTATATACCAAATGTCACACTATATATCACCTTGACCAATTGTGATCTGCTATCCACATCAAACTTGAATAAACCACAAGAAACACTTAATTGTAAACAACTACTGATGTTTTTGTTGATGTAGGACAGGTACATGAACTCGAGGCATGTTAAATTTTGGGTTATTTTGCTTTGGAACTCAACAGTCCCTATGTTGAAAATTGCCTTTTTTCTGTCTTGTTTTTAAAATAAATTCAATTTCCCCTTTTCTCATTTCACAAATCATAATAATGTCTTTGGCTGTCAAAGACCACTTCAATAGTAAAGTTGTATATTATTAATTAAATAAATACAATGTAAAACATATTAGAAATTAAACATGGAATACAAAATATCATAAAACATCTGTTATAAATAATTCACAATACTGTTCTAGCTTTCTTCAATGGTGTAACAAAACTGTCCTCGTCTGACAGTCTCTTCCTTTTTTTACATATTGTATTGTTTTTATTGGTATGTTGCTGTGTAATTGGAATTAAACATAGGTCCGAAGAATAAGATGCTTTCCTTTTCATATTGAGAGGTTTAAGAGGAATGAGTTTTACAGAAGCTGGAATGTTATTATTGTATAACTGACTGTGTTTGTCCATACTACAGTTTGCTTCTGGAAGTGATAAAGAGGTGTCATTTCCTGGACATAATGTGTCCACTGTATATTGATGGGCAACAGGAGACTTTGTCACAGTGATAGCAGATCTGAACCATGTATCCAGTTTCTTTTGTCCTTGATTTGGCTGGGTTTGAGTATTTTGTTTAGCTGTTGTAAAGGTACTATCATCTTGTTTTGAACTAGTTTGTATACCAACACAGTGATTATCTTTATTTCTATTTGACACACACGTTTCAACAGAATCAATACACTTGGATAAAGGTTTACGTGAATGAGTATTTGATTGGATTGCACCATCATGAAATAATCTATTCTTGTCATATACTGGCTGTTCTTGGTCTGAGGAATTTAATGTTGGTTCAATTTGAACACTTCTTTTATCAGATATTTCAGGAATTGTATTACCGGTAGTTGTGTCTGGTAAACATTCATAATCATCATTTACATTTGATTCTCTATAAACTAGTTCTATTTCTGTCAATTTTGTCATTTTGTTAGCATCATCAATTGTCGATTTCAAAACGGGATAATGTCTTACATCAATTTTATCGTCTAAGAGATTTGTTTTAGACTTGGACACTTTCTTGAAAGATCTTCTCATTTTTTCCAACTGATTTTCAAATTCTTGTGCAGATTCATTTAGTTGAGATTTCTGTGGAGATTCAAAAACCACACCTAAAGAGACAGAAGTTTTCTTCTTCAATGATATTTTGCAGCCTTGTTTTTTCTGTCTAGATACTTTCCTCATGTATGTATTCATAGGCAAAGACATAAATCTCTTAACAGATTTTGGAATTGTAAACTTCACACTTTGCTCTTTTGATAAGTATTTATTAAGGCAAGATAAATCTGAGCGGTCAGACAGTTTCCCAAATATTCCACCTCTTTGTCTTTCATTGACAACTGGATAAATGAATTTGGGTTTTACTCTTTCCACGAAAGTGCATATCTCTTCATAGCTACAATGGTCGGAATACGGTACTATATGGACATTAGATATACCTTCATATGGAATACAACCTAGTCCACAATACAAAGAACTTGGTAAAATCACCAAGGTTGGTTCATAGTCGTTCCAACCAATAATGTTTGATTTGTTAACTGTATGAAATGGTACTACTCTTATCCTGCACTCATTGTCTTCAATACAAAACACATTAGGCAGACCAAGAATTTCTGCTGTTCTATACATAGAAATTGGAACAGAAATCCATTCCTGAGTTATTTCAGCAATTTTAACTAATAAGTCCTCTTTACCTAGATTTCGCATTCCAATTATTATTCTGTGATCTTTATGCTCTTGTATCAATTTGATTAGTTTCTCTACAGCTTCCTCCCGTGTAGGAAAATTACATTCAGGTGCACAGTAAGTGTTGTCTAAATATAGAATATCAATATCAGAGCAATTTGATAATGGAGTATCTACAAACATTAAATCGCAATAACGAAAATCACCAGTATACAAAACTTTACCAAAGTATCCTTCAAAGAGAAACATAACAGATCCTGGACAGTGATTTGCATCAATCACACCAACAACCATTTGTTCCTGCTTCTCATCATCCAAATAAATTACACTACTACTTCCTGTCTCAAGGACATTTATAAGGTCATATTTAATTCCATACTTCTCAGTCAGTAGTTTTGATGTAACTGCAGAGCAGTAAATGTTGTATTGCCATGATGAGGACAGTCCTACTGTGTGGTCACCATGGAGATGAGTCAAGAAGAAAAACTTTGCAGATGGACAATCCCTTTTCTTCCAGAAGTCCACAGCAATTGGTGTTCCTGGTATGATATGTCCATTCATTGCTCTGTTGCCCTCAGTACTTTTTTATCAATTTAAATAATTGCTGAATATCATTGCTGAAAAATATGAAAATATGTTCCAGTAAAAAATTTATCACATTGTTGGTATTTCTGTTATAACAGGTAAATGATAGGTGTAAAATATGGATTACGTTGACAAAAACATCCAGCTGTTCTAATATTTGCAAGGTCATTTTACAGCTTCAGTTATAGGCCACTTATGTATTTATTCAATTTCAAAGAAAATTGAGGGTAAAATAATAAGACTATTAGGAGTCTATTGATGCTCATCTTGCAGTCACAAAGTGGATTACCAGGTATTTCCATTGTATCATCAGATCATGTTTTCCTTCAATATTTCTAAACATTCATGATATATTGTTTGGTAGACTGGAATATCATAACTTTATTCTGAAATGGACTTGCATATTTTTTTCTATACCCTCTGTCAGTAAAGAAAAACTTTTTATACATGTGTCATGTAGTTTTGTAAGTTACAAATGTATATATTGGCATGATACGGGTTATGTTCTTCTCATATATTTTATGAAAGTATGATACTAAACCCCTAACGGGAGGGATTGTACTTGATTTTCATATGATGAAGACCTAATCTTTCAATCAGTTTAATTGAGGTTTTGAGCTGGCATGTCAGTAACTGCTAGTAGTCCTTTGTTCATTTATGTATCATTGTCATTTGCTTAGTTTCTTTTGTGACCTATTTTGACATCGGACTCGGACATCTTTTAAACTTTTACTGTGCGTATTGCTATGTGTTTCTTTTTTCTACATTGACTAGAGGTATAGGGGGAGGGTTGAGATCTCACAAAACATGTTTAACCCCGCCGCATTTTTGCGCCTGTCCCAAAGTCAGGAGCCTCTGGCCTTTGCTTGTCTTGCTAGTTTTTTAATTTTAGTTCATTTATATGTTTTGGAGTTTAGTGTGACGTCCATTTTCACTGAACTAGCACATAATTTTATTTAGGGGCCAGCTGAGGACCACCTCCGGGTGCGTGATTTTCTTGCTGCATTGAAGACCCATTGTTGGCCTTCGGCTGTTGTCTGCTCTCTGGTCAGGTTGTTATCTCTTTGACATACTCCCCATTTCCATTCTCAATTTTATGTAAGACTCAAATCTATGGCGGGTTCCAAATCTATGGCAGATACCTAATCTATGGCAAATGTGACGTTACAAATGTCAAACAAATCAAATCTATGGCAGATTTTTGTTTCTCCAAATCTATGGCAGATCTTTAAATTGCGTAATTTTCCCGGGGAAAGAGTAACATATAATGTCACCATTAAATAACGCCATATTACATCATTGCTGCCGCAAATGATTGCAGAACCCATAGATTTGAACACCATTCCAGATGAAGGTTTTTCCCTCGACAACAATTTGCGGATGGTTTAAAGGAAGATGTGGCCTTTCATCCTGAAGAGGGACAAAACGTGCTGTACCGGCCAAAGCCAGCAATGAATAAGGGCACTGCTGTTTTCTGTACCAGATATTTTAGAAAGGGAGTTATAGAAAATATTTTACTGCCATGGCTGGCAAAGTTTATAAAGTGAAATATGAAATTACCAGATACCAATTTGATTTCATTCGTCATCAAATAAAAAAGATGTATTAACGATAAAATTAATATTATTTGAAAATTCAAACTGTTCATTTTTGTCGAGTTACTCTGACCTTTTTTTCGTAAAAGCGAGACATAGAGATCCTACATTCCATTGTCAGCATCAGCGTCCTCGTCGTCGACAGCGTCCACAAATATTCAATCTGTGGTTAAAGTTTTTGAAATTTTAATAACTTTCTTAAACTATCCTGGATTTCTACCAAACTTGGAAAGAGCTTGTTTATGATCATAAGATAGTATCCAGAAGTAAATTTTGTAAAAAAAAATAATCCTGTTTATTCGTATTTTTCTTATAAATGGACATAGTTTTTCTGCAAGTTAACATAACACTCACTCTGTGGTTAAAGTTTTGGAAATTTTAATAACTTTCTTAAAAACTATCTTGGATTTGTACCAAATTTGGACAGAAGCTTGTTTATGATCAAAAGCTATTATCTAGAAGGAAATTTTGTAAAAATGTATTTCCTGTTTTTCCGTATATTACTTATAAATGGACTTAGTTTTTCTTCAAGTTAACATTACATACAGTCTGCAGTTAAAGTTTTAAAAACATTTATTAGATTCATAAACAATCCTGGATTTTTACCAAACTTGGACAGAAGCTTTTTACAATCAAAAGAGGAAAATTTTTAATAATTTTTTACCCATTTTTGTTGAGCCTGCGACTAACAGCAAAAGTAGGCGAGACACTGGGTTCCGCGGAATTACAAATTTTTATTTATTTATTTATTTTTTATATAAAAAACTGCCTACTTGTTTGTTAAGGGACTTACTAGTTGGGTTAAACAGTTACCATGCACAGATTAGAAAATGTTTATTTTTTTACGGGACACATCATTTCAATCTTGAAGTCTGTATTAAGGTAAATGAATTCATCATTTACGAATTTTTTTGGGTTGCCATCACGATTTGGTTGACCATTATGGAAACTCCAAATGTTTATTTCACAACTGTTTATAGACATACTCCCGTTGTCGTACATTTCCACTTGTTTAAGACAAGTCATTGGTCGTATATGTACTGCATTGTTTCCATTTGCACAAAATTTGCCATAGATTTGGAAACAACAAAAATGCGCCATAGATTATGAAATTACAAAACTTGCCATAGATTAGGATTGTAAAAAATCTGCCATAGATTTGGGATGGTATGACGTCACATTTGCCATAGATTAGGAATCTGCCAAAGATTTGGAACCCACCATAGATTTGAGTCCTACATATATGTTGTGTACAAGTTGCAATTTTGTACAAATTATAATTTGTACAGGGTTTTTGTACAAGTTATCAGTATTTTGACACACACCTTCTTTCACCAGGTGATACAAGTCTATCTTCAATAATTATCCAGTTCGATGTTTTACTCACAAATTTATATACTTCAACCTAACATTAAGCACTGTCCTCTATGTCATAAAACTACAAATAAGGACACCTGATTGGTTTAGATTATATTTTTATTTTTTGACTAATACCAAATTCTATGTCCACAAAATATATTTTAGTGTTTTTATATAGACTTTGCGTCAGTACTATGTGCAAGACTAGCATGTAGTTGTGGAAATAAAACAGTGATAAGCTTAACCAAAGACACTGTGCTTATTTTATCTTATTATGTAAAGAGATTCACAAAATACTGATAACTTGTACAAAAATACTGTACAAATTATAATTTGTACAACATTACAATTTGTACACAACATATACATTGTAAATAACAATAATGGTCATGATGGTACATGAAAGTATCCTGAGTTACCATTACAGAATTGAACTTCATCCAGAACCTTTTGATCATTCAGGCAGACTTTGGTTCACTACATGTACTTTGAGAATATAGTTACTGTCAAAATGGTCAAATAACAGTCCAGACAAACCTGTGCACCTGAAAGAATTTTAAGGCATAGCTGGACCTAAATTATAATTTAAAAGCATTTGATGTTTCAAAATATCAAAAATTTATTAACTAGATTTTTCAATGCATTTTTTTCATTCCTGCATAAAGTGCTGAAATAAAGAAGTTGGGATAGGTTTTTGAGAAGCTTCTCTCATATAATACATTTTGTAAATGGAATGAACTGTTTTGATTGACATGGAAAATAGAAATCAGCACAACAATAGGTGATATAAACTGTGTAACTGAGTGGACCTTCTCAAGGAAAACTCAGGTGTTTGGAATTCTAGTCAATTCGGCACCTAGTTAAATCAAGATCTGGTTAATTTGGCACCTGATGTAGGTATTTCTGCACCCAAAAATTTACATTACTTTTGAAAGTTGATGATTGAAGACCATAATTTAATTTTAATATTTTCACTCAAGTTGTCATCGTATATTTGTTCCAAATAAAATGAATTGTCATAAAATATAAGTTCCTCTAGAATATAAATTCCAAGAGGAACAGATAATATGACATTGTTTATAACAAAGTTTCCATTGGAACTTCTGTTATGCAGAACAAATATATGTTGACAACTTGAGTAAAAATATTTAAATAGCGGGGGAAAAAAATCTAAATTACAACATGTACAATGATTAAATTTGCTTTTATCCTCATCTGTGGATTAACCAACAGCTTGGAAAATGGCTACTTTGTTTAGATTTAAGGAATTTTTAATCATAAAACATCAAAAACTACATAAAAATGGCTAAAACAACAAACAGGTTATTGTTTTTAATTGATATAAGTTCATAAGTTCATGAAGTTTATAAAGTGATAACCAATCAAAACATCATTAATAGAATATTGAGAAAACTTCAAACAGCAAGCCAACTGATTTTTTATTGTGTATTCTAAATGCTTAATTACATGTGCTGATTTTTTTTAACGATGTACGAAATGTATTTTTTATTTAACCTCTGAAAGTAAGTTTTGCATAAAAATATATATATATAAAAAAAAACGAAAATCTATTTTCCAAATACTTTAAACAAAAAGGAAAAAAAAGGTAAAAATAATATAAGTTGCCAAAATTGAATAACCAAATGCCGAAATGACTTTAAATAAATATTGATTTGACTTTTTCTATAGGTGCCGAATTGACCAGGTGCCAATTTGACTTGTACCCAGTGTTTGTTTAATTTGCAATCTTCAGTAGACTTAAAAAAGGTACCTAAAAATCCAGATAAGTTTTTAATTTTCTGAAACATACAATACATATAACTTTTATATATATCTAGGTCAATCCATGCCTTAAAATTTTTGCACTGGCTACGATTACCCGCAAAAAGTAACAATAAGAAATATTTATTGTCACTTCTGAGACTAATTGCCGAAATGTATTACCGGACAGGGACCGACTTCATACGGAAATTGCAGGAAACAATAATTTTATAATCCGCAAACTATATTCAGGCATGCATTGTTCTAAAAGAAATATTTGATTTGTGAGCAATCTATGGAAAAAATTTAAACC